CCCAAGCTGGCCCCAGGCAAGCTGCCGTCCGCCTGGGAGTCAGGCTCGGCCCCGAGGCCCTCCCGCCGCTCCCGCCGCTCACTGAAGTCACTGCTCTCGGAGGCCGTCTCCCACTCTTCGTTGGCGTGGTCAGAGGAGTTCTGGTATGAGAGCTCAGGGGACCTGCGACCCACAGCGCCACTCTTGTCCCCAGGACAGAGTTTGGACCTGCTGGGCCACTGACCTGGCAGCAGGTGGGGCTCTTCCTCAGGCCCCCACAGGCCCAGGGACTCACGCTCCTGCCTGAGGCGCCTGAAGCGAGGGGGCTTGTCTTGACGTGGGGGGCGCCTTCTCCTGAAGGGCCGGTTCTCCACATTTTCACAATCTGCCACATGGTCGTCGTGGAAGAAGGACCTTTTGTCTTCCAGGCGGCTGTCCTCAAAGCCCCTGGCGCCAAATGAGTCAGAATGTCTGTAGGCCTCGGGGACATAGTCTCTGTCTGTGGGTCGCCGGGACCCACACGCGTCAGGAGGGCTGTATTCCTGCCAGGAGGCACCCGGACTCTTACTCTGCCAGGGGGCTGACTCTTTGGACACGAAGTTTCTCCGCCCAAACCCGCAATTGCTCAGCCGGGGTGGGAGGGCTCGCCCAAAGGCCCGAGGGCCCCGGTTCTTCGTGTCCAGACCACTGCGGTCCTCAGAGTACATCTTGCTGGAGCGCCAGGAATCTCTGAAGTCACCTCTCCCCACGCCGCTCTCGCCCCTCTCCAGGAGCGAGCCTTCGATCCCACTCTCCGCGCCCCTCTGCCGACGCCGCTTGGGGAGCTCCTCGTACTCAGAGCCCTCGCTGTGGGTCTCGCTGGCGATCCTCCGGCGGGGCTTGGCCCTGGGGAAGTCATCCGGCTGACTGAACTCCCGCAGGCCGCGGCCTCGGCCGCTCCGCTGGCTGCTGCCGCTGTAGACACCCCGCACCCCAAGGACCGCCCCCCCACAGATGCTGCTGCTGGCAGGCCGGCCACGGAAAGTGAATTCTCTGAAGCCACGGCCACGGCTCCGCGCCTGCCCTCTGCCCCCAAAGGCTTGCTCCTCATCAATGAAGATCCAGTTATTCCTCCTCGTTGGGGCAGTATCGCTGGACTCCCGGGAGGGCCTGGCTTCCCAGGCCCTGTCGGGCTTCTCGTCCTCTTCAGACTTGCTGGCCTCACGGC